ATAACTTTGTTTTGTGTTTTATATGTTTAGTTTTAATAGTATTTAGTATCAAAGAATAAATAAAGAATCAAAATATTAATACAGTATATGGGTGTTATGGTGAATATATAATTTTAATTTTTTATTAAAAATACTTTTATATTGAGAATTATTTTTTAAGGGCTATATGTTAATTGGCAAGTCAAATATGTAAATTCACTAATTTTGATTTTTCTTTATAATCATCAATAATGATCAATATCATCAATAATGTTCTGTTAACTGTATGTTTAGATGTTAACAAAATGAGGTTTGTTATCAAATATTTAAGATCTGTTTATTGCCAGTAGTGGAAGAATATTGAGAATAATTGCATTACGTAGGCCTACATTAATATATACTTTACAAGTTAAAAATGAATAATAACTTTAGCATAATTATTTACATAAGTTATTGGTTTATGTAAATAACATTCAGATGGGGTATCAGTGATAATACATTACAATGTAGTATATAATTTTATGTACGGTACCGGTAATTGCAAAGTCAAGATAATTTTGTAAATTCAAAATCAAGGCATTTTCTTTGGAAATATCCATTGTATCGTTCAATATCGCCCTGAATGGAAGACTGTCTAGAAACAATTTGAATTATACTTAATTTGCCTTATTTTGTCTGAGGAATTAAATACAAATATGTTGTCTATCTATGATCTTTACAAGTTGTTCTTATTTTTAGTTCCGATGAGGAGCTCATGGATTACCCTGCTGATAGTGTGCTTTTTTTCACGGCTGACTGACATTACTGCTATTACCACTTTTATACAAATATGGATGGCTCGGTCGGTTTAACCGCCGTCCATGCGACAGTTTCATGCGATGGTTCTAAGGAACCATAGGGCGTGAGTTCAAATTGCGTTGGTATTTAATTTTAATTTTTTTTTTCATTAGATATGTTGTTTTAGCTCCAATAAGGAACTCTAGGAGTACCCATGTGATTGTGTGCTTTTTTGCTGATTGTGTGCTTTTTTACTGATAGTGACTGCATTTTTACGGCTGAGTGGGTTTTAGCGGTCTGTTTAACCATGCAATCAATGCAGGGTTCTATGCGATGGTTCTAAGGAACCAAAGGTTGTGAGTTTGAATCACGTCTTGTATTTAATTGTTAATTTTTTTTAAAGACATTTTAATTTGTAAAAATTATTTAATCTAATTATTTGAAAAATTCTCTCTTATTATGAGGAGCTCTAGAAGTACACGGCTGATAGACATACGGAATAGACGGCGCGGTTGGTAAGCAATGTGTTCTAATGAACCAAAGGTCGTGAGTTTGAAACGCATCTTGGAAAATTCAGTAACTAGAAATACGATTGTTTACTTTAGAAATATACAAAATTAAATCTTAAACACTGTAATAAAAGGGAAAAAAAAGAAGAGGAGGAGTTACTGTAGGCCTACCAGATGATGAAATCACATAAAGAGGGAGCGTATTCGTTTATTTGGAAGAATAAAACAATAATGCGGGTGTCATAAAAAAAATGTATAGTATTTTATGTTCATGATGCACATGAAGTATTTGCTAGACTTGCCACAAGTCTTTTTCATATTGTTATTTAACATGTTACCAATGTCAGGATGACGGCGCGACCAACAAGATATTTTATTCAATCAAATATATGTAATAGTTTCCAAATTTATAGAGTATGGGTTGGGCAATCCTTATTTGAATATGGCATGCACTACATTAAAATGTCTTATGGTAAAAATAATGAACTTATGCTCAAAATTTAGTGCAATAGATTTGCAAAATCACTCAGGATTTATGGTTGATTATTGCTGTAGAGCCTTTCTGTTATTGAAATGAAATACACCATACTGTAGCTCCGTGGTTAAAGCACTGAACTCAATATCCAGCCATACATCTAACGATGAATGAGCGTGCACCCGAATCTGTCCCCCACCCCCTTCTCCACAGAGATATACCACTGCTAAGAACTGTACAAAATTAATGATGAATACATGTGGAGATTCAGGGGTGGGGAGGAAACTGGCCCGACAACCCCATCCCCCTCTAATTTTTTTAAAATTTATAAAAGTAAGTGAAAGAAAATTACATTCAAGAAAATTGCAAGTCTGAGTGCGATTTCTGGCCATCTAGAAATGCCATAGATATTTGACCTCTCCTCCAGTGGCGTAGCTGAAATTCTGTAGGGGGTGGGGGCAGTGTGGGTCTGTGATATTATGTGAGGATACAAGTGTTCTGATCGAAGTGAGGAACCAAATGGGGGCCAGTGGGCGCGTAGGGCCCCGGCCAAGGAAAAATCTTACAATATAAATGGCTATCTTACGTGACCTCAGTCCGTTCACTCACAAAATGTATAAATTAAGTGAAATTTCTATGGAATTAAAGAATGAAAATGAACATCGTATTATTTTATAGTAGTTTATTATACAGAACCGTTTTAAACCATGATGAAATTATTGTATTGTGTTACGAATTACAGTTAAATATTAAAAACATGAATAACAGGAAACGGATTGTACTTTAGCCACGTGTTGCACCAAGAAAATTGTGTAGAGAATATTGAGTTTGTATAAATGTCTGTGATTGCCAATATGTATAGGCCTATTGTACTGTAAAGTAAAACTACACAATATGAATTAAACATCCATTTGAGTGATTTTAGAAGAACAGCGAAGCGAAGTGAATGGAAGTCGCCCGCAGTTCAACTCAAAACTACAGTACGAACTGCGAACTGGTTGAACTGAATTTGAGCAATCACGACATGTAGAAATGTCAATGAACCTCATTAGCCACCTCAGATTGTGTGATGATAAATTCCAAGAAGTCCGTTCATTTGGTAAAGACATGTTGAAATCACCAGTGGGCTTGACATTAAACAAGGAAACTAGAGCTTTGTATGTAGCAGATGTGTATGCTCACTGTGTGTATAAATTCAATGTTGATGATGGCAGGCTGCTGGGTAACATAGGTTCACAAGGTAGTGAAGTAGGTCAAATTAGGCAACCACAAGATGTCACTTTAACTAAGAAAGGTCATGTGATTGTTGCTGACTTTACTAATGACAGAATACAAATGTTTGATGCTAATGGTAAGTTTATGAGAACTCTTGTAGGCTCTGGTAGGGAAGATGGCAAAGTTTTGAGTCCTTTTGGTGTAACCATGGATATGGATGAAAATATAATAGTATCAAGTAATCATAAATTACAATTATTTGATAAAAATGGTGTATTCATAACACGAATAGATCATAAAAATGATGGATTGGAATGTCCACTAGGAATCACTGTAATCTCCAACAGACCAAGAAGAGTAGCAGTAGCCAACCTCGGACAAAACAATGTAAAAATATTCAATTATTAAAATGACACATTGAAAAGCTCATTAACAGGCTCCATTATTAGATAATGTAAAATAATACTTCTACAGTTTTTTAATACATCAATAAATATTTTTGACAAATATATTCAATCAGATTCAAAGCAAATGAATAAGAATAACTATCACACTATTAATGTTTATACATCACTCAATTAATTATATTCCATCAACTGGTAATTTTATTGTCATGTACAAAAAAAAATAATTGAACTTACAATATTTTTTTATTTCTGTATTTTTATATGACTGTAATAAATATTATAATTATATTGAATAAATAAATGAAATGAATGAATGAGTGAGCAACTGAATAAAAAGTTGGATGTGAGTTGACATGTCTCTGAATGAGCATAATCTAGATAGTTTTAATAGGAGCAAACATAAAATTAGAAATATTACACCAGCAAAAACACAGTAGGCATAATTATATTAAGTATGTTTGAGATTTTTTAGAAATAGAATAGAATAAAAAACACAAGTTTAATACATGAATGAGTAAACAGACCTATTTTATATTTGATTTCAGTCTGGTTTGTTACTAGATAAATCTTGAATCCAATATTATTTTACCACACAATAACAATTATATCAATGATAATTTTACCATCAATACACAGATGACAAATTTTCATTTTTGTAAAGCTATAATGCAAACGAAGTACATGAATCAATGATCACAAAACAGATGTCACAATAAACACAGTGGGAGTATTGGCCAGGGCTGCCAGATCTACCACTTCAGCAATATCACAAAAATCAGCTATCACAGACCACGCCATACACACAATCTCATGCCAAACTGGAAGGCTAACACTGGCAAAACAACCCAAAATGAAAAGACAGGCAGATCACAGAGTCTTTTTTTAAGGTGTAACAAAGACAAAGTCATGAACAGGATAAAGGAGCACATGAACTCTCATCATGACCAAGCTACAAAACACCTAGTTGTCGTTAAAAAAAGATCTCCAATAGGGATCGACACGTTTTGAGTAAGTACTCCGTTTACATTGCACAGTAGCTTTACAAAAATGATAATTTATCATCTATACAATTCTGAAGAAAATTAAATCTTTTCAAGATCAATGCACTTGTATGACACACTTAAATTCAGTAAGCTTATTTTGAGATGTTTCATCACATGATAATTAATAAATTGCATATTTCTTACAAATTCAAGAATGCTGATAATTACATTCTGACATATAATCAATCATCACATATATTTTTAATTTCATTTAAAAAGCCAAATTGTGGCCCAGATGCTAAATTGTATGATATTTACAGAGTTATAATAAGTAAATGTACTTATTTACAAACTAATACTTGTTAAAAGCTTAAAAAGAAAAACAAAATGTATTAAAATTTACTTGGATTTAGTTTTCATATCTGAACTTTTACTGTATTCTTTCAAATGCCTTTGGTCCTTAAATTAAGAAATTTCTACTTTTTTAAAACTTTCTGTTATGATGATTATGCCTTTTCCATGGTTTAGGCATCCCTGTGATGGTAATAAGAAGAGTTGTAGTGTAGTAGTTTTATTAAAGATTTTTAAAATCTTGTTATTTTATTTGGCTTGATGTCAGGAACTGAATTTTAGCGATTTATTTGATTAGAACTACTTTTTTTGTAAATAATGTTTTTCCTTGTTTATAACTTACGGCGTAAACAATCGCGGATGTTTATTTTTATGTTAGCGTTTTTGTTCTGTGGTCATTGAACTGTACTGTAATTATTGTAATTAAGACGCTTACACGAGTGCCTGCTGGGAGACAAGACGTTGCTAGAGACAAGACGTTGTTTTGCTGTGTCTGTGAAGTGTAAAGAAAGCTATAACTTACACTTTCAAGTTTTTGTTCGAGTTATTTACTGGTACGTTGTTAATTTCATGTATTTCACTAAGAATCATTTATGACTGTTTTATGATAATCATAGTTTGTGTTTTAATAATAATAATATTTCTATGATTTATTTACTCTCAAGCCTGAGTTTGAGATGACAGTTTGACGATCGAATCAACTATAATGCTAGGCCTAGGCTAGAATAACTCGTTGATTACACGACGTGATAGTTGATCGTCGGTATAGAACTGCGTATTTTATTAATATGTTCAAGTGTCGTTTCTAGCTAAGATTCACCTTATTTCAATATGTATATTTCTTGTACTCCGTAAAAGTAATTTCATGCTTGTTCTTATCCAATAACCAACGCTACAATTGTTTATTGGAGTGACTCCCTACATTACCTTACTGATAAGAATCTCTTGGTGATGAACATGTGTTTGTTGCTGATCACTCTGACTATATATATATAACCAATTATGGCTGCGCCTATGTAACGATCGTGTAGCCTATACTTTTTGTTATTATGATATTTGATTATGATATCCTTGTGCTCAATATATATATTATGCTCATTAGTAATAATGGTTATGAGAGCTTGACCATTAGGACTTAGTTTCGTTTTGTTAAAGACTATATCGTTAGTAATTATTTTGATTAGTTTTCCTTGCAGTTTTCATTAACTACTGTACTGTTGTTATTAATGATGAGATTTACATTTGTAATCGAACGATTGTTTTATTATTGAACTTTCATATGTGTTTAAGGAAAGACTTTACCATTTTATTGAAAGACGTAATAATTAATATATTCATTTATCAGGTGATGGTTAATGAGAACCTGATTTTGGTACAGATTAAGATACTTAATTGAGTACAGATTTGGCCTAAACGTTACCACAGTGCATCGCAGGTACTTTATTGTTATTACTTTAACGTTATTGTAGAACATAATGCATTGAAAATCATTATTTTAATATTGATTAATTACTTACCTTTGAGATGATACGAGTTTCATTGATGATAATAATGATATTAACACTGAGGTTAATAATGATGTATCAACGAGGTTAATGTAATGATTGTAATATATTGATAAGATTAATGATTGTAATTTATATGAAGTTAATGATTTGTGCACACAATTGAGGGTATTGTTGACATTGAGGGTCAGATAGATACACCATGTTAATGTGCAAGGAGATAAGAAGTTTACAAAAGTCGTAAACAGAGATGTTAATTAATTGAGATGTATAATTAGCAATTTGATGGAACTATAATCACTGAAGTTGAGTTAATACATAATGTTTTTAGAATTTATTTGTTTTCCTGAAGCTTTGGATATGATTATGACCGAGGTAATGCTTCATGGAGTGAATTGTAATTGTTTTATTTCTCTGATTATTATTTAAGTGGTTCTTTGTTTTCTTTTAATATGTTACGGTTAATAAATGTTGATACCCCGTTACTTTGGTCTTAGTTCATTCTTTGACTCGACGTTTCGCCCACGACATTAACACTGGAGACAATATAAAAAAAAAAGAGTAATCTAGTGAGAGAACATGTGTTGTCACCTCTAATAATACACACCCTCATAAAAGATAATGAAAGTAATGATTTACCTCTCTACTTCCCACGCTGTTTCTGCTCCTTGTTCAGCCTGTATGTCGATTCGCTGAACTTTAATAATATACATGAACACGTCCTTGTTCCCCTCGATGTGTACCACCAGCCCAAGTATACGCCATCCAGTTAGATTCTGATTTGGCGATGCTATATTCTCTGGTCCACACCGTTCATCGTCATCCAACAACATATCAATGGGTCCCATGCCTCGACTTAACTGGAGGAAAGAGAAAGATGAAAAGATAACATTGGATTTTGATTTATTCAATGTGACCATTATACTCATGGTGTGCAATTTAAACAAATGATGAAAGGATGACTAAGCACTTCTCTATGGCTGCCATAGTAACTGACGACACGTATGCTATTTAACAAACGACACTGCAAGTTTGAACCTTTACCCTTTGACCTTTACCCCTGCCCAGAAACAGCATTACAATTTCATCAGGTCATTGTGTTACTGATTTACAAATGTTTGCATGTATATTTTTATTATATTGATTTTTAAAGAATAAAATATTGATTATTTATATGTATGTATCATGCTTCGTTCGTTTTGTTTGATATCAAAGGTGTTTAATTAATTTTACAGTTTATTATATAACTAAGTACTGTACTATATAAGTAGCAGTAGATATAAGATCAGTAAAATAAAACGTGATTATAATTTTGATTTACAACTTACACTAATTTGACTTCCCTCAGGTTCCATGGGCATTTCTTGGTTACTGTCGGAATTATTACTGTGGAAAACTCCCCTTATTTTACTCCCTATCTTGTTGAACAGGGGTCCATTTGACCTCTTCATGTTGGCTGAAGAAAAAACATAAAATAAACAAATTATTCAAAGATTTTGAGTCTTTACAATCAATCAAACAATCCAGTAATCAATCCATCAATAAATCAATTAACTAATCTCTCGATCAATCTAATATTAGTTTACAAAAAATTAGATAATAGATACCACTTTCATAAATAGTCAGGAATCAGAACCATTGTGTCAATAAATCAATTAGCCAATCAATCAATCTAACATTAGTATGTGAAATGTATTGCTAGAAGACGATGATGATACATAGTAACTAAAAATCACACCAACAAAAATAATAAAGAAGAAATATGTTTATCCTATATATGGACACATGCTCTCACTCATACCTTTCTTTGCCTTCTCATGTTTTCTCCTCTCTTACTTCTCTTTCCAAAATGACCAAGTCCTCTTTGTCAGGTCAACCTCAATTTGATTCCCTATGTATTGGTTGGGGACTGATACTCCAGGGTTATTATAATACCCAATAAAGTTTCAGAGAGGCGAATCTATTAGTTTCAGTGAATATTTACCATTATTAACTATAATGTAAAGTAAAGTACGTAACAACATGATAGAAGCTTCTGGGAAAACTTGATTGAGCATCACCATCAATAGCACTACGCAGGAAGACTGTCTAAATCACACGGGATATCAGCGAAGTCACAAAAAAGTCAACCGACATTTACTTTATTGGATTGAAATGACTCA